ATGACAAGAATAGCATGTATAGCTATCTTTATTGAAGGGAATTAGTTTTAAATCGCGGTCATGCATGAATGAATGATATTTTTGCAATTTTACACATAATAATCCACGATGATCACATTACACAAAACTGAAATTGCACTTCAAAATAACACATTGTCAATATTTTTGGAGACCCCCCAAAATTTCACAAATCACGTTTTCAGGGGAGCCCATGTCTTATTAAGGGGAGCCGAGCTACCCCTAGCTCCCCCGTAGTTCGCACCCTGCAGACAATTCAATATAATATACATTGTTTTTTTAGACTCTTCAAAATAAAAGATTCAGCTAATATTAGTGCACAAAAATTGACAAAAATGTTTAAACCAAAGTCAGCAAATTGAATTGCAACATGAATTTGTGAGAAAGAAAGCTGTCGAGTTTTCATCAAATCATTGTGGGGTGGAGCAGAGTCCTGTTTGGTGGGTCAGAGGAAAGGGGACGGTTGCTTTCAGCTACATTACACAGACTTCAAAGATTCATATCACCACCGCTCTCGAGACTGATCATGAATACAGATTTTGGAAAACAGGTAATCTGAGGTTTTCATCAGTACTAATTTATGTTTAATACTACAGAAATCTTTGCATTGATTTGTGTTACTTAACGAAAGTGAATCAGCCTTTAAAGACTAAATTTTTGGTAGGTGATTTAGTCGATACTGTTATACAGTTTATTAACTTTGTAAACTGTACATTTGTTGTGTTTTACAGCTTAAAATGAAATACTGTAAGATATTTCTCTTTCTTCTATTAATTATCATGGATGTCTCAACAAATGCTCAAGGTAACACAATGATACACAGAGTAGCAAAACCAGATGTTTTAAACATCCAATTTGTTGAACAATATATAATAATATCATGTTCATATATCACGTTTCATTTTTAATGCCTGTCTGAATTCATATATTGTTTTTGTTCATTTCCCATGAAAGTTCATTGACCATAAATCCCAAATGTAGGTCTAAATTTGAAGTAAAGTTAGCTGTCATTAAACTGATCTGCTCTGCTTTATTCCAGGAAAACTATAAAAGCTTTCTTTTAATAATGGTAAAAAAAATTTCTTCATCTACAGAAGTTAGCTGTGAGAGTGAACAGCTCATCA